GAGTCCGTGATATTTAGGTGTGAAAAAAAGTAATTATTAGGTGTCTTAAAACACCTATTTAAATGGTAGTCAAAGTTGCCAGCAGTTCCGCGGTGATGATCTCGTGACTCAAACGAATTATTAATCTAAGCTGGGCATCGGTGATTTTTAGGTTAGTGAAAAATTAGTCATTATTAGGTGTTTTAAAACACCTATTTAAATGGTAGTCAAACTTGCCAGCAGCTCCGCGGTGATGATCTCGTGACTCAAACGGATTATTAATATAAGCTGGGTATTCCGTGATTTCTAGGTGTGAAAAATAAGTTATTTTTGGGTGTCTTGATGGTTTCACAGGTACCATTTAAGTTCCGTGGTGATAATTTCCGTGACTGTTGGCATATTTCTATTTTCACCAGTTGATAACTGACTGTTGGCCCCGGCCCACCCCCCCCCCCACTCAGGGGTCGGAATGACCGCATGCGTGTTGCCAAAATGTCCGGTAAAGGGGTACTTTTCGTGCGACAAAGTCCGGCCCGAGAATTGTAAAAAAAAGGGGTGTATTTGACTTTTCACCCGGAGATTTATTTAAAAAGGGGGTGTTTTTTCGTTTTTTCGTTTTTTCTCTCATCTCCTTGGACTCCTGAGAAATTATTCCGAATTTAGGGGGGTATATTGAGCACTTTTCCTGATTTAGGGGGGTCTCCAAGGCAGGAAAAGCCCGCGAAAAGCCCGCGAAAGGGGGGTTCGGAAATGTTGGCAGTCCTCAGATAGGGGGTGCTTTAAAAAAAAGGGAACGAGCATATGCGTACCCTAACTAACACTGAGTGGGGGTGGGGGGGGGGGGCGGGCTGTTGGCATGTTTTTATTGCACCAGTTGATAACTGGTCTGTGTGCATATTTCCAGTTGCACCAGTTGATGACTGACTGTTGACATATTTCCAGTTGAACCAGCTGACACCAAAAAATTTGCATATATTGAATATGGGGTGCGTGCAGATCTATGTTTTTTTCAACAATATACCTGAATTTACCGCATATTTCTTAATTACTGATGATTTAGTTGAATGCAATTCATTTCGAAAATACTACAAATATAAATTACTAGTTATTAGGGCATTTCGCTACTTCGTATAAATTACATTTAATTAAACATGAATAAGGGAAACATTATTTATGAACTAAAATAATTTCAATAAAATACGAGTATATGAAAAATTTTCGATTAATTAAATGATGTAAGTCTACTTATTACCAATGCCTTTACATTGGAAATACAGACGTACCAGTATTGAAGTGGTTGTTGCCGTTCAACTGGTTGGAAGTTTTAACAAACGGTTCTAATGGCTCAGCTAGACCAGTTGAATTCTAACTGGCCTGGATCAACTGGATCATTTAGCCCATTTCAATTTCCGGGGTTACCAGTTGGCATTAACTGGTTCATCAACTGGACCAGTTGCAACTAGCTTTCTCTTCTGGGATGTTTGCACCCACCCTACACCCCCCCCCCCCCCCCCCCTCCCCCTCTAATCCCAAACTGCTTCCGGCGCGCCTGGAGGTATAGAAGATCCAAAACATGATGTTCAGAAACGTGATGAGAACGTCATTATTTTGGTTTATTTATTGTGTAACATTTGCGTAATTATTGGGTTGAACGCGGGTTACAGTAACATATTTCCTCTTCGACGTAAATTTCACGTGAATGAAGAACATATGATTCATCTCAAGTCAGCCTCGTAATATTCACGTGAATTTCACGCAGATATTTTGACTAAAACTATCACTAACGCTTCACGTGTTTCTGTGACGCGATAATTTCGTTTCATGATGAAGATGTAATTTCATAACCAAACAAACACGGGAGTATTAGGTTTCCAAACCATGGTCCCCATGATAGGGATAATCACGTTATTATAATGGTGATATTGCAGTGACAATTGCGTGATTTAGTGTACGTGTGTTTTAAGTGACCTAGTGCAATAAACGTATTAACACATTAACGTAAATGTCCGGTGTTTGAAGAACGTAACTCTCCTCAAGTCGATACCTTGATATTGACGTGATTTTCTCGTGATTTTGTTTATTGGGTAAACGGTTCTCTTGTAATGCATTGTGTGTACACGAGGGCTTTTCATATTAAACACGCTGCACTCAACGCTGTTTTGCCATTATTTTCGCCACTTACATTTATTTGTATTGCTTATTCTCAATTTATTTCTATACTTGCCCTCTTCCGAATTTTCTATGTCTCTATCTTCACCCCTCTCTCTCTGTCTCTATCTTCACCCCTCTCTCTCTGTCTCTCTCTCTCTCTCTCTTCCTGTCTCTCTCTGTCTCTTGATGCGTTCTTTATAGCACGCCCAAGGTTAAAACGTCATTAAATCATCTCATCCACTGAACCCATCAGATAGTGTTCTCCTCGGCTCGCTTCACTTGCCATGCATTTCTGATGAAACATGTTGCTCTCTTCTTTGAGACCTTTTTGTAATCTTCAAATAGCCTTTAGCTGACTCGAAGATCAGTAGATATAGATTACCAGTTGTGTAGTAACGCCACGCCCTACTTTTTGCAAGAAGTGAAGCGTATTAACGTGCATAGAGCGTTTATCTCTCCTACACACGGTGCCTCTTGATCCAGTTAACGTCGTATCCGAGGAACTGAGTGTTTTCCCCTGAACCCGAGCATGTATCGACAACAGAGGGGAGGGGCGCGCTTACATACAACACGGCGATGATCAATTTGTTTTTGCTCAGCGCGCGGGAATCGAACTCACGCGTAAAATTATAGTCATAATATTGAGAGTAAGACGACGAACCGATAGCACCTAAGAAATATGGTCTCCCCTATTTTTTAAATTTCCAACAGAAGTCTGTTCAAAACCCAAATAGAGAAGTTTTCCACCTCAATGCTGGATATAGCTTTATCGTCGGAAAATCTTAATGCAGGTGAGTGTATTCCCTCCATTTTTTCCTTTCTTTTGTTATGTTTATTTATTTATTCTTTTAAAAAAATGCATTAATTCTTTGTTTATTGCGGGAGGCGAGGTGTGTGCTTTCGAAAACGTTTCATTTGAAAACTTTTAGGAAATCTGATTTTAACGCAATAAAGGCGTTGAATTTAAGAGACATTTTAGAGCAGGCACCATTAGGACCCGGCAGATATACGACGTTATACAAGTCATCATACAAGTCATCATCATCATTTTCATCAATATCATCATCATCATCATCATCTCCATCTTTATTATCATCATCGTCATCACCATCATCTTTATCATTATCATCATCATCATCATCATTTTCATCATCATCATTATCATCATCATCATCTTCATTATTATCATCATCATCATCCTCATCATTATTATCATCATCGTCATCATTATCCTCATCATCATCATTATCATCGACATCATCGTCCTCATCATTTTCATCATCTTCATCATCATCATCATCATCATCATCATCTTCATCATTATTACCATCATCTTCATCATCATCATCATCATCATAATCATCATCTTCATCACAGGAGAAATGTCACTCCGATGTGACCAGTTGCTCTCTAGATGAAGGTCTCTATTCCATCCTCTAATCTGTTCAACACCAGAATTTAGAAGTTTTCCACCCCAATGGTGTATAATATTTATGTTGTAATTATTGTGATGAACTGTTTGATTTGTCGCTCTTGAGATTAAAGTCTTTTTACTTTAAACGCCAAAATAGAAAATAAAAATCCTTAATTTTTTCGTTATTAATTCAGGAAAGCATGTTCTAAAATATAATATAACCTTATCATCACCGGATACTACTTGTGCAACTGAGGTAGATTTGACCCGTTTTTGTTTTGTTTGTATTCTCTTGTAATGTATCATGCATTTTTAGGAGTCCCCCCTCATTACAATGAAGTATTTTTTTACTTCAAGACGCTTGTTTACATAATATTTTTTGCGTAATAATGTAAGTGTATTATTAAGGCGCGTTCACAAAGGCTTTTTTTTATATACTACAAACTAACAGTTGTTAAACTGTTAGCTTTCAATATGTCGGTCCAGTTTACTAAAAGAGATTCCCTTGCTTCATTTTCTTTCTATCTTTATCCGAATTCTGACAGTTTTACCTTATCCGTTCCTTCTATTTCTTAGCATGTTATTTTATCTCCTTGAGGTATCTCTCACTTCATATTCATTCGCATTGCAATCAATAAATCTAATTTCTGATTTGAATATTATTCATTTAGTCATGCGCAAGTAAATACAATTGTACACGTCCTATTATTAGCCTTTTGTTTACAGTTTTAAAGTTTTGTTTTTCTTCAGTCTTAAACAAATCAACTCAGGGGCACTTTGAATACATTATTGTATTGCCTTTAGAAACGATGCCCAAATCCTGTAATGATTATTTCATTTAACTGTTCGAACATTTCTAAACGTGACGCACGAGGCTTAGCCTAGTGAAATTAACTTAGATTGATTTTCCGTAAGTATTTACGATCAAACACGAAGTTAGCCTAACGTCTTTCTGTCCATCTGGCCAACGTTGGCTCAACTGTTACAAGTGACGTTGGAACGGAGTTGATGCAACGTTTGAACAATGTTGGATCGCAGACGGCGAAAGTGCCGACCATAATATTTCTAACGTTTGTTCAACGTTGTATAGCCAACCAAACCCATCGTGTATCAGTAGGCATATAGACAACGGCCTAACGTTCGGCAAACGTTGGCTTGCCGACTGCGGCTGAGCCGACCTTATAGTTCCGACGTTAGCCCAATATGTCATATAAACATCGGCCTGCCCACCGTGTACCAGTGACAAAATGAAGACGATAGCCCAGTGTCTAGCCAACATTGGCTCATCGATCGACTGAGACTTTGCCAACTATTGGTCGATGTTAGTTGAAGGTATATAGTTTATGTGGAGCAATGCAACAACAATTATAGCACTTTAAAACAAATAATTTATAATTATTATGTAATAAATTGTATTATGTCCTCAGGCACGATAATGACAGTGCACGATGGAAATATGACGCAGTACCATAACCCCTACTCCGATCAGGTAGTCGTCCATACGATCGTTCAGGTATGGACAACAATCAACGCTATGATCGGTACATGCGGCAACATCATGATCATCGCTGCCGTGAGTCTCCATCACAAACTCCGCAATATCGGTAAGTTGTTTATAGCTCGCTATTTCCGAAGGATCGTTATCCCGAAAGTTCTTTTATTCGAAGATTCATTAATTCAAACGTTCATTGTTCTGGGGGTTCGTACTTCTGAACTTTCGTTGAGGACGAAACTGTAAAGTTTGCAGGGGCGGTGGAGCGTCTTTGAAAGGGGGAGGGAGGGGAGGGGTGGCGGGGTAACTTACAAATTGTGCACTTTCTGAAGGGGAAAAAGCGCTTACAAAGGGGAACCTCAAAGTAAAAAAATAATGGTTCTCATGAAATTTGGGGCATTGTGTCACTGTCCCCCGCTTCACTCTCTTTCATTGTGCTGGTAAAAATCTGTTACTACTCAAATCCGCTCCGATGCTTTGAATCGAGAAATTACAGGGCACACTTTGTATGTGACAGTGGGAAATGTAGACTAAAGGGGGCACTAATAAGAGGGCAACTATACTAGCATTAGAAAGGAAAAAGGGCACATGTCAAAAGTAACTAGGGGAAATTATCACATTCGAATGGGACTCTTAATATAAGAGATGAAAGGAGAAATTTGTGAGGAGGGGGAAATGGTATTTATTAGAAAGAAAAATGGCACTTATTAAAAAGAAAGTGCCAAGTGTCAAATTAAAAATGCGCACTTATCAGGTGTAAAGGGACCATATTCATAACTATAAAGGAGGCACTCATGAGAGATGGAAAAGCAAAAGGGCATTTGTCAAAGTTAAAGAAGCACTTATCAGAGGTTCAAAGGGTTACTTCTAGAAAAAAGGGAATGGGGCATTGATTAAAAGGAAAATGGGCACTTGTTAATGAAAAATATGCACTTCTAAGAGGTGAAAAAATCACTTCTAAAAAGAGAAATGGAAAATTTATTTCAAAGAAAAAGGGGCACTTATCAAAGTAATGAGGGCACCTATCAGACTTGAATATGTGCACTTATCTGAGGTGAAAAGGGGACACTTACGGGACGGGGAAGGGGCACTTTTCTTACAAAAAAGGGGGAACTTTGGGGATTCTCGAAAAATTGAGGAGCACTTTACTCCCATGCCCTCCCCTCGGAAGCACTGACTCTGAAATTTTTGAGAATGGGTAAAGATGGTGATGTAAAGCGGGAGGAGAAAATGTCGAAAGTGGGGGAGATATGAAGTTGGACTAGAAAATACAAAATGTTTTTTCATTACGCATATATATAATGTATTATAGCTTTTACGGAGAAAGTTAGAAATACAAGTATCATCATTTCTCCGACTCCTATGTAGGTATAATACTGACTTTTTTATACATTTGAAACACCTGTAATTTTTTGAATTTTAAATTGTTTTAGATACATTGATTTCATTGGCTGTCTAATGTGAAGTGCATTTCATTCTAAACATTGAGATTATTGTGATAACAGATTTTAGAATTAGATCATTTTCTCTGTGCACTTCAACGCTTAAAATGATGACTTTAGACATGACAAGAAAATCTCTTAGCAAATTAAAGATTTTTGTTTCTAATACGAAAATAAAATGGGAATAATGAATTATTCTGTATCAGTGATCCATTATGTTTATGTACGAGATCTCCGTTAAGCTGAAAAGTATCATGAATATTGCTATAAAACGATCGCAAGAACTTTTGCAAAATAACCCTGGTGCGAATCAATAGCCTTGTGAAGCACCTTTTGTAATGGAAGAACCCGGCAAAGAACTTGATGGCATATAGTGTAACGGTAAAACGAACATGATTTCTATGGAATAATCAATTGGGTCTAAAAATCCCACTTGAGATGACGGTTTTTTAAATATAAAATTAAAATAAAATATTTATCGAAAGTCATGTTCTTTAAATCGCCGGTTTACCAACAATTGTTAAATGATGATAAAAGACGAATGTTATCGAATCAAATAAAATAAAAACAAACAATAATAATAATACTAATAATAATGTATTTGTACAGCGGATTTTCGTGAAAACAGCGACGATGACATGTTCAAACGCGCTTTATGCAATTATTATGTTATTATGCTATGAGGTGAGTTTTTAATATTTTTTGAAGGTATTGAAAAATTGCTGGTTGCGAAGATATCTGGGTCGGGTTATTCCACGGTTTCATTATTTTATTCCTTATTTAACCTTCTTTCACAGAGTGAAAACACATATAACAAATGAAGACAGGAGGTCAAAAAACACCTTGGCTTGAGGATATATATGATCTCGGTCAGGCGCGTACGCAGGATTTTTCAAGGGGGGGGTTTTAACATTCATAAATCGGGCCGAAAATTTCGCAACGACTCAGCCGACCGCTGAATAAGCGGGGGGGGGGGGGGGGGGGGGGGGGGGGGGGGGGGGGTAAGAGGACACATTTTTTTTTTTTTGGTCCCCAAAAAATCGCAACGACTCACCCAAACCGCTGAATAAGCGGGGGGGGGGGGGGGGGGGGGGGGGGGGGGGTAAGAGGACTCATTTTTTTTTTTTTTGGTCCCCAAAAAATCGCAACGACTCACCCGACCGCTGAATAAGCGGGGGGGGGGGGGGGGGGGGGGGTAAGAGGACTCATTTTTTTTTTTTTTGGTCCCCAAAAAATCGCAACGACTCACCCGACCGCTGAATAAGCGGGGGGGGGGGGGGGGGGGGGGGGGGGGGGGTAAGAGGACACTTTTTTTTTTTTTTTTGACCTCGAAATTTGAAAATTTGACATTTTGCTCCGTTGGGAGGGGGGTAAGGTCACCTGCTTTAGGTCATTCATGGGGATAATTTTTTTTTTTTTTTTTTTTTTTAAATAATAAAAAAAATAAAAAAAATAAAAAAAAAGGGGGGGGGGGGTTTTAGATTTTTTAGGGGGGTTTATACACATAAAAATACCAAAGGGGGGGTTTAACCCCCCAAACCCCCCCCCCTGCGTACGCGCCTGATCTCGGTCAATAATTTGATTAAAAACAGTAATTGACATTGCTTTCATTGCTACAATTTTGAACAAAAAGCATGACCCTTGACATTAAAAGCGACGCCTTTATTTCATCTCCTGAGAGTCAAGCGGTTGTAATAACTTTGTAAAATAAATAGAGCTAAAGCCCTTCTGGCTCTAAGCACTTAGACCCTTCAATCACGTAAAGATTCCAGTGATGGTTAGTTTGAAAGGATTTCACGAAGAAACGTCACGTTGTGTTATAGGTCTTTTATTCTCATGTTCTTTTTTCTTCTTCTTTTCTTTTCCTCTCTGTATACTAGGCAATACCATTTCCGTTTATGTATGATGTAGGCTTTTCTCAAAATTCACGAATAGATGAATTTATTTTGGTTCAACACTGAGAAAAGCATATGATGATATTAATAGTAGCTGTGTAAGGCATAAAATATTGTGTCCAGAAAAAGAGCACTTATACGGGAAATAGTAATTTAGAGACAAAAGAAATCAAGAATATAAAAAGAACACTTGAGATGACAAACCAAAAGACTAAAAAATTAAACAAATTGTCTAAGGAATAAAAAGAAAAAACAACTATATGTATTTTATGATGGACAGAAATGTGAAAGGGATGACACTATAAATAAAAAGATAACAGAATGAAAAAATCTTTGATTAAGCTATTCAGAATTTTTGGGCTGTGGCAGAGGATTTTTTTGAGATTTTAACAAAACGAAAACAATGCAATATTTGAATATCGTAAGTCGTGCACATTAAAGATGGACATTTCCAGTACACATTTTAATGTTAACAGTATGTGTGTGTGGGTGTGTATGTGTTACGTTGAACCTTATCCTGAGTTAAGTTCTGTAAAGCAAATTTTGTTCAGCCATTCTCTCTGATCATTATTATTCAGACAAAAAACAAGACCTTTAGCGCCTTGAATTTCTGTATTTTCATCGATATCACACCTGATCTGCATCCTTCTGCGAGATTTCATAATGAGCGTGAATATGAAGTGTTTTTTTCTTCTCAGAATAGTATCCACGTTCCAACAAGGCACCACGTACTTTAATGGTTCATCCAAGGGTCTCCAGGAAAAACATGTCCATGTGCATCATTAAAATTTTTAGTAGACATGGCCTTCTCAAACTGATATCTGAAGGTGATGGCTACATCAGTCCTGTGTAAACAAGAGCTGAGTTTGTGATCTTCACCAGAAATACACGTTTTCCATCGCGTGAAAATCTATTAATCTCCACGACAAAAGGGAAAATCCACCCTGATATTTAATCGGTTGTTAATAAAAGCAGAAAAGGAAAAAAACGGATCTATAAAAGTTGGTCAAAGTCCGATTAAACAGAATTAAGGTAAGGATTTTGGAGTTCAAATAAGCGAAATTTGTATTTGATTGATTAAAAGTTGAAAAGGTGAGAGTTTTCCTGTTTTTAATCCGATTTTGCTCATTTTAATGCCTGTATTAGAATAATTTTAATATCAAGATGGACTTTCCTTTGCTAGGTAAATGTCAATCTTTAATAATGGAAGACCGGTGACATTTAAAGAAAAGAGAGACGGATGTATTTCTGTAGTGGGATAAATTGTTATTGAAGTATACAGGGACGCATCTGAATTTCGATAATATTGTTTTGTTTGCTTGGAATGCTTGATTAACTCCACATGGTGAAGTTTTCAAATGTCAATACCCATTTTTATGGAATATTTTTGAGCTCTGAAAGGGGGAAGGGGGGATGGGATTCTTTCCTTACGTACAAACATTGCTTATACCAACAAAACGTACCTGAGAAGTTTGATGGGTTTAAACCTTTTTTAGCATCCTAAGTTTAAACTCAATTATCAGAATTTCATTGCGGCATAATATATTATTGTGGTACCAGCAAAAAAAAATATTGTTACACTGCCGGAGTGCCGGTCAACCATGATTTAATGTGAGAGAAAGAATTTGTTTATAAAAAAGGTTCTCCTTTTTTTTATTGTGTTATTAATTTCGGATTTTTGTGAATTTTTATAAAAATGTGTAAGTATAATGCTGTTGTTTGTGCTGTCGTTGTTGTATATTAATACAGACTGAATTTATACAGATTTGCTGAAA